TGATTCAAAAATACAGTATTTTTCCCTTTCGCCCTCCTCCGTCCGTAATTGTCAGTTGATTGTTCTCAACGTTCTTCATAAACCCACGCCCCGGCCTCGGCCGCTGGCGCCAATTTATGTAAGAATTTAGCTCCGGTCTGCACCGCGGCTGCTTTGAACTGGTGTACCAGGAAAAACCCGCTATAAAGCTGGAGTCATGTTGCTGTTGGGGGCTCCTCCTGGGAAGCAGAAGAAAATCCCACTTGCCTTTGTGACTCGGGCCTTGGTGGGTATGGGGGGGTGCCGGCGAGGGAGGAGGGAGGAGACGAGGGAGGAGGGACGGTTCACTCTGGGGCTGGCTGGCCCCCCCCCTGGGCCTCCCTCCCGGCTACTCTTCGGCAGAGGATGACGCAGGACTTTCGTCATCTGACATCGGGGCAAACTGAAACAAGAAGCAGAATTCCTTTTGTTTGGCATCGTTTCGGATGCCTACAAGGCGCCAACTTTGTTGGCTGGCCCTGTGGCTGAGGTGAGCGGACAAGGTGGGACTTGGTCCCTTGGCCTCAAGGAGGTGACGTTCAGAGAAGCATACGAATGCAGAGGAGGATTTTCATCACAGATAAGGGGTGGAGGGGAATGAAAGTAGAGAGCAGGCAGGCAGGGACGGGGACTTGCAGGGCGCAGTGATGTGGAGCACTCCGGCACAGGAAACCGCAAATGCAAAGGCCCTGAGGCAGCAGCAGCGGCTACTGGCCAAGCAGACTGAGCAAAGAGGGAGAGGAAGGAGAGTGGGGCGTGGTGAGGGTAGTCACGCAGGGCTTGGTGGGCTTTGGGGATGACTTTGGCCTTTTCTCCAAGTAGGGTGACAGCCACAGAGGGCTGTACCCTCACTTGGGTGTTCACGGTGACCTCTGGCTGCTGTGGGGAGAACAGACTGGAGGTGGCAGTGAGGGCGGGAGCCGGGGCACCAGGGTGGAGCCAGTGGCAGTGGTCCAGATGGATGGTGGTGGATGACTGGGGCTTGTCCCCCAGGGGTCCCTGGGAGCAGGACCGCACATCACCCAACAGGACATCACCTGCTCCTATCACCCCCATGTTCCAGGTGAGGAAACTGAGGCCCAGAGCTCTTCCCCAGGTGACGCCCTGAGCGCCACAAAGGAGTCCCAGGTGTCCTGACACCCTGGGGAATGAAGCTGGAAAAACCTAGAGCCTCAGGGAGAATCTGGAAGTCACGTGGGAGACAGATGGCTGTTTGGGGGATCACTGCGCTCAACGGCCACCGCGCCACCCTCGAACCAGGCCCCAGACGCGCCTCAGGGAGGCCAAGTGTGAGGCAGGAGTGAGGAGGAGGGAGCGGGGAGTTTCCCGCCCAAGGTCTGGAGTCAGAGGGACTCCAGGGCCTCCACCCCTTCTGATCTGTGAGACCTTGGGCCAGGGATGGAACCATGCTAAGCCTCAGCTTCCCCACCTGAAAAATGGAAGTAATAACGACTTTATGCAGCATAATCAGGCTATCGTGGAGGGTTCAAGAAATCATGCCTAAGAGGCATTCAGAGGACAGACCATCAGTCTGGAGAGCTCGTCTCTTCCATCAGACACTCACGCTACACTGAGTATCAAAATTATCTTCCTGTTAGGCTTTCAGAGAGTGTTTTGCTAACAGGCATGATTTCTTAAAAACCCTGGCTTGTGTGGTCAAATAAGGAAAATGCCAAGTTAGACCCCAACTGGGTTTCTTTACAGTGAGACATCTCAAGGCCTTTGATACACTGACACGCTTCAAATAAAAACCAAAAATCCTCACCGTGGCCCACAAGGTCCTGCGTGATCTCTGGTGTCCCCTCCCTGCTCTCCCCGCCTCCCACTGGGGCCCTCGATGCTCCTCAAACACACCAGGCATGCTCCCGCCTCAGGGCCTTTGCACGGGCTGTTCCATCTGCCTGGACAGCCACACGACTCGCTCCTTCACTTCCTCAACAGCTCCCCATCTCTCCATGCCCCTCTAACCTTGTTTTAGATTTCTTTCCGGCAGTTACCATCACCTGGCTCTGATACGTCGTCTTGTGTATTGTGTATCTGACTACGACGCCTGCTCTGTGAGGGCAGAAACGGTTTCCTGTTTGGCTCAGGGCTATGACTGCCAGGGCCTAAAGCAGGATGTGTCATGCGATTGGTGCTCTGTAAGTATTTCTCGAATGAGTGAATGGGGATTAAGAGCATGCATTTGGCTCGAGACAGATCCAGGTTCGAATGCTGTTACTTGGTCTCCGCTGTCCACACCTCATTTCCTCATGGGGGCACCAGGGAGGTTCACCAAGCAGATGACTCTTAAGTCCTTGGCACGGGCCCCATACAGCGTCAGCCCTTTGTAACCGCTTGTGCCTTCCCAAAGCCCCCCACCGCCCACAGCGTCCAGGGGTTGGCACTCACCGAGCACTTGATGTTCATGCGGGAGTACAGCATGGATGCAATTTCACTCTGCCCCGCGTCCAAGGCCACCATCAAAGCTGTGCTCCCGTCCTGTAAAGATCCACTGCTGTGATGAGGCCCTGAGCTGTGCTCCTGCCCTCCCTGGGGTGCCCCTGGGTGGGGACTCACGCGGTCAGTGAGCGAGATGTCGCAGCTGGGCACAGCCAGCAGGAGCCCCGTGATCTCCTTGTGGCCGTGCTCACAGGCGCACATCAGGGCCGTGGAACCGTCATCATCCTGGACATTGACGTCCGCTTCACAGGCCAGCAGGGCTTTGACCACATCCACCCGCCCGTGGCTGACCGCCAGCATGAGGGCCGTCTGCCCCGCCTGGGTAGGGCAAGGAACAGGCTTAAGGACCATGTCATCCCGGGCACCCTTGCTCTGGAACCTTCCATGGTTCCTGAGTACGGTGATGTTAACAGGATCTCTACTTGCTGGCCTCCTTCTAGATCTCAAACAATCCCTCCCACCACCGGGCCTTTGCACTGGCTGGTCCCCTCCTCCTCCTCCTGCTGTCTCCTTCTCATCCCTCACATCTCGGCTTAAATGTTTCCTCTCCTGGGAGTTGTTATTTGCCTACCCAACCCAAACCCCAACTAAAGCAGGTTCCTAGCTCCCGGGTGTAAATATATGTAAAAATTTATTGAGCTAAGATTTCTATGCTTTTCTGTATGTCAGCTAAGCCTCAGTAAAAATCAAATCAATGTTGGGGCACCTGGGTGGCTCAGTCAATTAAGCGCCTGACTCTGGCTCAGGTCGTCACCTCACGGTTTGTGAGTTCGAGCCCCGCGTTGGGCTCTGTGCTGACAGCTTGGAGCCTGGAGCCTGCTTCAGATTCTGTGTCTCCCTCTCTCTCTCTGACCCTCCCCTGCTCGTGCTCTCTCTCTCTCTCAAAAACAAATAAACATTAAAAATTAAAATAAAAAATCCATGTTCATTAGCGGATGAGCAGAAAAAGAAACTGTGGTATACCCATACTAAAGAATATTAGCCTTAGGAAGAAACGGAGTACTGATGCGCACTGCCCCGTGATGAACCTTGGAAATATTACGCTCAGTGAAAGGAGCCAGACGCAAAAGAACACATACTATGCGATTCTATTTATACAAAATATCCAGAATTGGTAAATCCGTAGAGATAGAAAGCAGACCGGTGGTTTCCAGGAGCAGGGGGAGGGAGTTGGGAAGCGACAGCTCATGGCGCAGTGTTTCCTTTGGGGGATGATAAGAATGTTCTGGAAGTAGATAGAGGTGATGGTTGTACAACACTGCGAATGCACAAAATGCCACTGGATTGTGTACTTTAAAAGGGATAGTCTTTTTTTTAATGTTTATTTATTTTGGAGAGAGAGAGAGAGAGTGTGAGCAGGGGAGGGTCAGAGAGAGAGGGAAACACAGAATCTGAAGCAGGCTCCAGGCTCTGAGCCATCAGCACAGAGCCCGATGTGGGGCTCGAACTCACAAATCGTGAGATCGTGACCTGAGCA